ATGACCGAAGATGTTTGAATGAAAAAAAGGTAGGGCAAAGAACATAGTATGAGAATAATCTTTCCCACTTACCCCACCCGATCTATGAGCATATCCTTTAGCTCTTTTGATAATTTTCCCACAAAGCAACCAGACTCATCTTAAGGTTTAATTTTCCCACAAAGCAACCAGACTCATCTTAAGGTTTAATTCAGAACACATCCATCTCAGTACATGTGTGTACACACACACACACACACACACACACACAGAGCTTCAAAAACACCATGGAAAAAAATCCATTACTTTTAATGCCATTTTTCCAAACAATTTTGAAGGCCTCTTGTATAGAAGTATTTCCTACCAAGATCTAAATGTCTATGTGAGATTTTATTCCTGTTCCTTTTATTGAGCGTATTGCTATTACTCCTCCACACTGATTTCATTCTGCTAGTCAGATGCTTTCTTGTCTCAGGAATATGCCAGTGTTGTCCTGTATTTGGTTTCCTCTTTGGGCCCGACATGTTCTACTTCTAGATCTTCACACTAGATCGATTCTGGTTCCGGTACAGTATAATACTCATCTGAACACACATCTTCCCTGACAACTTCAGTAAAAGCAGCAGTTTCTGCTCTCACCCCTCAAATATTTTGTTTTATCTTACTCACATTACTTAACACTAATTTACTTATCTGTCTGGGGTTTGTCTGATTTCACTAAAATTTAAGGTCCCATGTGCCAAGATGATTATTTTCTATGCTATGTCTAAGTTACTAAGGATTAACTAAAACAGTGGGTTTCCTACGGGTTATTTACAAATATTTGTTGAGTATGATTTATTCTGAATAAAGCTGAAATAATATTTGGGGAATTGATATAATTCCAATTTGTAAAGATGTCAAGAATTACAATGAAGCAATGAGAATGTTTAAATTAAGATGACCGCAATTATTGATGTTATAGAAGAGATTGCGGGATGAAGTAAGAGTTTCAATTACATGAAGCTAAAAAATCTTTTCCAATTTTAAAATATTAATATATTCAAAATGGTATGAGTCACTTTCAATCTACATACCTGAATTTTATTGGCTAAGTGACATAAAATCATAGGGGATGTTTTGACTAGAAAGGATAGAAGATACATTTTTTTATCCCCTTTCTCTTCAGTGATCTGAATTAGAATCTAGTTTATGCCTCTTTCTAATTCAGTGAACATCTTGAGGATTTCTGAAATTTTCTTTCAAAAGTAGCATTGAGCTTGATTTTCAGACCAAAGTATCCAAAGTAAATGGGTAGATTACCTGGCAGTCTCGCCACAATTCCCAGTTATATTAATACAGAGTAATGATACTCAGGACTACTGAACTTGTTAAAGAATATCTGTAATATTTGCTATGATTTATTTTTTATCCCCTTCTTTCCCCCAATAAGAGTCAATAAAACAGTGGAAACTATAAAGGACTATGCTATAATGATAATTCATAGACATGTTACCATAGCCACACAAATTTTGTTCGAATAACATTTTAGATTTAAGTTGGAAATAATTTTAACCAGGATTACTTTCAGAAGACAGTATTAAAAAATATATATTGATCAAATTAATAATCCTGCAGACTACTTAACATAAATACTCTTTTAACAAAGACAAGGATAAGCTTATTTTATCAGTGAGTCTAAAACAGTTTTATCACTGAGTCCAAAGTGCATTTAGAAGAGATCGATTCTGTTAAGATATTACTAAAATAAATTTTGGAAATACTATATATCATAATCCTTTCTCCCTCGTGCAGGAAACACATTAACAAATACACTCTCTAAAATATTTATCACTTCCCTAAACCCACCCCCCCAAAAAACCTTGAACTTTAAAAATTCTTCATTTTTCCTATTCCTTTGGCCAAAATTCTCCAGCAGAAAAAAGTTTAGGGAAAAAAAAAAAAACAGTTTAGGAAAACTACTATATAGCACTGTTTGAAGATATTACTTCTAAATAGATTTACAAAATAGCTACAACAGAAAATGTGATAACAAATGAGAAGTTTACTTGAATATATGCAATCAAATTATGTTAGTATATAAGAATTTGTAAAACTGGTCTAAGTATTTACAGTTGCTAAGGAAAGGGACAATTATAAGCTAGATGACTTAATTAAATAAACAAAATTCTTATTTTAGTCAAATTCCTATATTAATTGTTAATTTCTCTGTATCAGCAATTATTTTGTGATGCTATTCTCTCCCTGTTATTACAGCCACATTTTCAGTATTAATCCTGAAGCTCTCCTGAGAAATTAGGTGGCACACAGAGTAGTGGGGAAACACAAGCTGTGTTTGGAATCATTTGTGCCATTGTTCCTCTTTATTCTTTAAGAAGGGGAAAAATTTACTACGTGGATTCTTGTATTACATTTTTCTAAGATTTTTGAGTGATTTTTATTTTAATGTCAACATAATTCCGTGTGAGTAAAAAATAAAGTACTGAATAGTTAACCTCCCCCTCTTCTCCAAAACAGGGACTATAGCAGTTTGAGAAAGCACTTACTTAATCATTTCAAAAAGCTTTGGATCTGAGACCTTGATATTTCGTGCCATATTCCAGGAAAGATGAACCATAGGTACTATTGACTTCACACTTTGCAATTTGTTCCATTCGTACCGTTCCACCGCCAATTTATATTGGCAAGCTAGGGGGAAAAAAAACCAAAACATATATATATATAAAGCAACCCAAAAGACATGAAGATAACCATTATCACCATGTCTTAGGTGATAAATGCAATACCAATTTGGAAAACTTCAAATCTCCATAAAAATAATTTTTGTGTTTTATGATGCAGTGATGATAGTAGCGATCATGTAAAGAGCATTTAGATTCCAGGAACTGTGCTATTTTAATCTATTGTCTCATTAATCTTCATAATCACCTTATTAACTTTATTATCCCCATTCAAAAGGGAAGAAATTGAGGTTCAGAGAGATTAGATAACTTGCCCAAAGTAGTAAGAACCAAGTCCTGGTGCTAATCCAGGTCTTTCTTGCTTCAAAAGCCCATAGTCTTAGCCGGAACGTGTACAATGTCTATAGGCAGGGTTAATTCAAATAAATTTTGACATAGTAGGGCTGTTCATATGATCAGATAAAAGAAAAATAAGAAAAGAATGAATAATCACTCTAATTTCACCCATAAAGGGCTTCGTTTATAACACAAAGCTTAGTACTTTAAAAAATTATTCAGATAACTTTTCCAAGCATATGAATACAAGCTTGCTTATTGCTGATATATATGATCTATGATTTCGATTGTCAACTTTAGTTTTTCTTACTACATATTAAGATTTTATGCCAGGAGACACTCTTCCAATTTTTAGTGAATAATTCCTAAGAAAAAAAGAATAGACGTATCAGGTACAATCCTGTGTAAACTAAAACCCAAAAACATATTCTTTAAAATACCTGTAAGTGGACC